ATTTTTTGTAAATTAATAATTTTATAATTTTTGTTAGAGATTAAAAGAAAATGCGAAACTATTAATAATTCTTAGCTTTCTGAGTTTTCAGTTATGGTATAAGTGTCTGAGATGACTCACTTTTAAAATAATGGTAAATACAAAATTAAGTAATAGACAAAGTATGTTTATTTTTTTATCTGTAGGAGGGGAAATTCGTTATGGATACCCGATTGCCAGCTCTGGCCAAAAATTGTCTAGTAGTGCTAGACTTTTACCGGCGAAACCCCCCATTTGCCATCTTGCTTTGTGCAGGTGGTGACTTTGTCCATGTGTCTTTTGTTTGTCCCAAATCCTGCATCATGTTGGTGCTGCCCAATTTTTCCCTGTTCTATTTCTATACTTTGTTTTTACATTTTCCCAACTTGGATATAAAAACAACGTACCTGAAATTTCTCTGAAACTACTTTTCGCCAAAGAGGTATTTCACGAAGCATCCGTGATCTGATGATACCTGCGTGAGAAAGTATATAAGCTACCAATTTTTCTTGCTAATTAGTCATTAGATTGGTTTTATTATCCCCGTTCCTTGGTATATTTTTGGGTCCTTTCTCTGATTAAGAGTTAGATTGACGGTATTGCCCATTTATGCGGTTGAAATGGTCTTATAAACGTTACAGGTCCTAATCAAGATCTTTTTTGTTGTATTATTGTTTTGTTATGTCGCATTCGACTGGTGCTCCGTTTTAGTTATGAGTGTATAACGCTTGTCAGAATTTTTGTAAAAGCTTTTGGTCCTTCGATATTTGCCCTGGTGGAAATATATCTATAACAAAATACGCAACAGTACAACAATTAACAATTTCTTACAATTTTTTGTATGGTTGTAAAAAGTTAAAGAGAATTGTAACTCGTCATTACAAAATTCTACAACATTTAAGGTAATACAAAAACTCACTGTTCAGTTCCACGTTTTAAATTGTAGAAGGTTGTCTAAAACAGAAGTTTCTGACAAGAAAAAATAACTTGCTACGCAAAGGTTGTGTTAAATTGAAAAAAGTTATTTGTTGTAGTTTCTAATAGAATACTACAACTTTTAATGGGAATTAACAATTCGTAACTTGTCATATAAAAATTTGAAAAATGGTCTCCGACAGACAAACACGTGGTTTCTTGTAAAACGCTACAACTTTTAATGATATTTGACAATATATAACGTTATTAGTGAAAACCAATTACAAATCAGTTTATCTACGAGAAAAAATTACTTTTCAACCTTACATTTAACAAATTTGCTTTAATAAAATTAAATCGTTTTCAACTGGATGAGCAACAATTTCTATGAACAATTAGGAAGAAGTCCCTTGTAGGAAATTATAGTACCTAACTAGGCGGAGAATAGATTGAGCTTGGTCGTGGAACATTGTAGAAAATTGTAGGCGATTTATAGTAAAGTACAATTTTGAACAATTATGATGGATGTTCTACAATACTGTCCCAATCTCAGTATTATATCGTAAAAAATTGTAGATTTAAACACAGATTAGATAGGATCACCTTGTAAAGAATCATTCAGTGTTGTATAATGTTTTAGAAGAATTTATTGTATAAAATTGTAGTTTCGCGTTAAATGTTGTCGAATTATTTCCACCAGGGTGGAATAGGTATGCCTGTCAAAGCCGCCGAGGTTTTCTCTACTCTCTGTAATTTTTGATAAATAACGTTCTGTAAAATTCAGGTTTGTATTTAGACACACTACTAAATATTTTAGGGCCTTTTTTTGTTGCGAGGAAGTGCACTGCTTCAGTTTTATGCGATATTATTGGAGCTAGCTTTGGCTGATTCACCTTGTTACTCGGAGTATGTTGCTGTATTTCCTACATTTACTGAGACTATCTTCGGTTGTAACCGTTACTATTAGAAATATGTCGTCCACACTTACTGGTGTAGCGACACGCTCGGGCATTTTTATTAGAAATAAGTCGTCATACACAAAATTCTAAAGCATCAGATCTAGAACTGATCCACTTTTATTAACTTTTTATTAATTATAACTTAAGCAGTTTCAGGTCTTCTTAAAAAGATGGTGATACGATATCCGAAACGTTAAGAAATCTTATGAATTGATGCGATTTAAAATTCGAGAACATTTATTTCCGACATATGTATAACCTAACCTAATAAATTCTGTGCTATTTTTGAAATAATACTTAATAAGTAGGTTCAGTAATAATAGTAGGTAGAATATTTCCTTCTGGCATTAATTGGTGAATCGATTTATGAATAATTGATTCACGCATCGGTTGATTAAGAAGGGCTTTCATAATAAATATATTATTTTTTATATATTTTCTTGTTGAGTTGATAACAGCCTTTTTTACATTTTTAGAGGGTTCATTGATCGTTTTATTGTTAAAACGTTTCGTTTCTGTTTTCATTTGTTGACCTTTTTGAGGTAGGAATTTTTAAATAATTCCTAGCGTCTGTATGATTTGTGATGAAAGCAGGACCATATCTAACCCTCGCTGTATGCATCGCTGTATACACGTTTCATGGTACTAGATAAGCATTTCCCATCGTCTTCGTTGAACTAAGAAGTCCATAACGGCACAAAGGCGTGTCTATTATGACAATCGGAATGAAATTTTCCAGTCCGACGCGACAGACGTCTGGGTTCCAGGATTGAAATTGGAAATTCCAGTGAAAATGCCATCACGAATATACACGTCTCCTTACCTTGGCGACGGGAAAGCAAAGAAAAGCGCAAACGCAACGCCGGAATGGGAAACGGGATAGGCACCCTATCTATAACGTTCACAATCCAACTTACTGGGCACACCCGAATTTATACGATATTAAACAGTGTGTACACGCGGTTTTTCGGAGGATTTACACCTATTTATTCCCTTTAACGCCCAAATTTTCTTTTCGGTAGTGTAAAAATCAGTATCTTTTTTCTATCCAAAAAGTACACGCCTTCTATATTGCTTAGTTTTTTCTTTCTTTAATTTCTCCAAACGAAATCTTAAAACTCCTTTCGTAAACTGTCACAATACATTTTTGTTCAATACTTCCGTAGACATTGTTAGTTTTCATATTTCTAACATTCATATTCATAATAAGTTAAAATCTGTTGTATGTAATAAAATAAATCTGATTCGTCAATTCACTACGGAGACTATGAAGAAAACGCCTTAAAGTTACATACGTATATCGTAATAGATATTCTTTGTTCGACCATTGACCATTCTTAGAATAATATTTATCGTACAAATGGGGTGTAATACTAGTAAAGATAGTGCGCAAGCTGTTGGAAAAAAATCAACGGAAGGACAAAATGAAACCGAAGAAAATGCTCTTAACAGCAAGGGTAAGTTTTTATCAGTTTTGTAAATATGTAAAAACAGTAAAAAACCTTGACCTTTTATAATTGACATTTGATTTGCGTATCATTTATTCTCATTGCTTGGTACGGCTATGCACAAATACAGGAGCTTACAATTGCACTTTTAAAATGCTTAATTTTAGTACTTCAAATAGTTAACAATAAGGCGAGACCCATATATGACACTAAAATCAAACTTTTTTGTTTTGTTGTTAAGAAATACATTAATCAAATGAGTGAATAATGCGCACAAACTTTATGCAATAGATATAACATTGTAAGTAACGATTACATCATATAAAAGGAGTGTTATTTTAAATATTGTTAAGGAAGATGTACGTAACGGGCAACTCTGCAGAATTTCAGTCGCTTGTTGCATTCAATTCTATATATATATTTTAGCATGTATGTATGATGACCATAATATAGTAAAAAGAACTATAGTCTAAAAATTTTTGGATAGCTTTTGGATATAATGCTTCATATAAAGGTACAAAACACTCTGTTAAATATAATTGAAATTAAAATACAGTTGTTATTATTTTATGGTAAGGCACAACGAATAAAAAAGGGTTAAATGCATTCTCAGACATATGTACATATTTCGCGTATAAGTGCATCTAATATAATTAATATAAATAAGACGTTTACTTTTGTACATTTTTCGTATTTATTTTTGACAGAACAACGAGTTAATTACTCATTAATATTCTGTAGTAAATGCAAAATTAATCGGAAGAACCCTATACCTAGAACAAAGCATAATCTCTTACTATTTTATGAGATATCTATTTATAATAAGCCAGTATATACATGTAAGTATTGATTTTGATGTCCAATACCACATTTTAGTGGGAAGCTAGTTTATATTCAGCATTATTGAGAAAAAGATAGTTGCATGCGTACGTTTTCGTTTCTTTATAGTAAATAATCAATTATAAAATTTAAACATAACTAATAAATAATGCACAGACAATTTCAGTATCTACATTACTGTTATACAGGTAATATGGAATTCATTTAATAAATTAGATTCAATGTTTTTCTGTCTAATCGTAAGCAGAAAAAAATGTATCCATGATAAAATCTTTTTGGCAATTCCATACAAACATAAAATCGATGCTGTGAAAATTACAATAAAGACACACTATAGTACTGAATTTGGAATTAAGTAAAGTAGTAGATAAGTTATGCAATGAAATATTAGGGTAATTTGTATAACAGCACAATCTGAGTCAGGCTCCTAGCGAAGTTTTAAGTAAACTAATTTTTTTATTCTTTTCTATAAAACATACTTATATAAAAGCTAGCTGCATTGGATTCACAGTTATCAATTTTTACGGGAAGTCATCGTTTTCGGTGATGTCTGAAAATCCTGTTTTGATTATTCTAAAATTTTTCTAGAAGCAAATATTTTTGGCGCTTCCTATTAATTTTAGAATTACATTTTCCTGTTGCTTTATTGAAATTAGGGATTTTTTGGTTCTATTAATAATGTTCAAGTCTTCCTTTCCTCTTTATCCCGTCTTTACAAGGCGCTTATAATAATCTTACATTGGGGTATTTGACTCGAAATATTGATCAGTCCGATTTCGTGATGATACTGCAAAGGTAATCATTGCTAGGAAGATGCCTAATAATTGAGTGCGAAACATAAGTTGTTGGTTTCACATAAATAAAAAACGTTTGCCCAATACATAGCTTGATTTTTTACTTTATTCGTCCAATTTTGTTGAAAGTGTACCTTTTAAACAAAAGTCTTGCATACAGCGTAGCTACAGCGTTCGACGTGTCGAGGAAATGACAGAGTGTGCTAGGACTGGGCAAATTATCCTATTGGTCAATTTTTAGGAATAGTAATGAAATAATCGATTAATTGCAAATGATTAGTGGTTACAACTACTATTTGTTTATATTATGAAAATGTTTATTTTTGTGTTGTTAGGCTTCATTTATTAAGAATAAAAACACGAACGTTTCTGTAATTCGATTATTTCGAATAATCGATTTTTCTATTGGTTGATTATTCCAGTTAATCGCAATAATCCATTATTTTCTTACAATCCGTAATCAGTTTATCAATTGTTAAATTTAATAATTACTCAACGAGAATTCTTGTTAACTTTGTCTTGAGTGCTCGAGAAACAATCACCTGATTAGGTATCCGTTCACGTGTCCAATTTCTAGTTTATTAAAATCTGTCACTTTCCCAGCATATTTCGGCTGTATATCTATTTTAATATAAATATACCATATAGCTGTTCTTAATTCTGTAACTTGTTCATGCCATATATCACACAATATCCTATGATTACGTCTCTATTGTGTTCATCATGTCTAATTCCTTTAAGGGATTGATTGTGGACATATCATAGATATCTTCATTGGACATACTATTTTCTATTTTGTTCTTACTACTGCTATTTTTCAATCACTCATTATGATTACCTTTATCAATAAATTAATTCTGTACTCGAGCATACTTATTTGTTATTACTTTTACTAAGTATATTATTCTTCAAATAGTCAGTATGATTATATCAATAATATCTATTTACCTGTCTAAATCACATCCTTATAGTTCAAGTTTTCATGTGATTACTCATGTATTAATTGACTATTAAGATATAAAAAAAGGCCAACAATGAATCGTATTAGTAACCGACCCTTTGAGAGCTTTCCAACGATGATTCACTTGTTAGGATTTCTCGTAGCCAATGAAAACTTCCAGAAAGTTGGCCAATGAGCACTCTGAAATATTCAATGGAATTCTCCAAATTTTTGCTTTTCCAATTCTCTTCAGTCTTCTTCAATCCCATTCCTGACACCAAATGTCACGTCATCTTGCACTGATTTTAATTCTTACTTCTATTATTAATCGGTTTTCAATTCATCACTATATGAAGGCTTTATCACTTCTTCCCTTCTTCTTCTTTATTTTGTATCGCCTCGAACTCTCTGACTAGTACTAACACCTCTAGATTTTTCTCTACCATTATTTATAGATGAGACTTCACGTTTTTTAGAATTTTCCAATATATGCTGTCTAGTTTGGTCTTCTTTGCCACTATGTATGTTGGGTTGTCTACATACATGAGATACTGTCTCCCCCTCCTGTAACTGATCTCGATCAATGACGTCGCCTCTGTAGGGAGCAAGCCGGTCAAGATGAACGATCTTCATTTTTGTTCGAGGTTCCTCCTGAATTAGATAAACAACGTCGTTGATGCGTCGAGTAACGGTGTATGGAAACGTCCCTTGCGCCTTGACGGATTGTGTAACCAAACATTATCGCCTTCATTAAAACCTGAAGAGTTGACTTGTCGATCGTATCTAGGATTTATGCAGTCATTTTCAAATCGCAGCTTCGTACACACATCATTGTGGATGGCTTCTAGTCGTTCTCGTAGTTCGCCTATGTATTCGTCTGTAGGTACCGGAGAGTCCCCAAACATCATGTCCGCTGGCAACTTGTGTTCCTGCCCAAATAAAATGCTGGCGGGTGTTCTTTCAGTTGTCTTATGGATGGCGGATCTTAAGCCAGGAGGAACAGTGGTATATATCGGTCCCAGTAAGTTTGGTACTCGTTGATAATACTTCTTAAATTTGTCTCCAGAGTAGCGTTAAATCGTTTAATCATGCCATCAGACTGTGGATGTATGGGCGTAGTCCTCGTTTTAGGAATGCTCATTAGTTCAGGGATGTTCTTGAAAAATGCCGATTCGAAGTTCCTGTTTTGATTGGAATGCAATTCCATTGGCATTCCATGTCGACTAATCCAATCACTGACAAGCTTCTTGGCAACGGTGTGTGATTTCTGATACGGTATCGCATGTGCTTCTGGTCACTTACTAAAGTAATCCATGATATGACTTGTATCGGTTACCGGAAGTCTGTCATTGGGAATGATCCTGCCACGTCGACTGCGATTCTCTCAAATGGCGCTCTCACGTTGTACTGCTGCATTCGTACATGACTCTTTGTCTTCGGTCCCTTACTGGCGCCGAATGTCGAGCATTTCCTGGTTTTAACTGGCATGTAACATTTCGATTTCTTTTAGAAACATTGATAGAACTCTTCGATAACATCGGATTTGTACTTCTCCCAACGAGAGTTTTCCAACGATGTATCACTTGTTAGGATTTCTTGCTGCCAATGGAAACTTCCAGAAAGTCGGCCGATGAACGCTCTAGAATATTCGAATGAAATTCTCCAATCCTCTTCAGTTCAATTCAATCTCACTCCTGACACCAAATCGCCACTATTTAAACTATCTGACTCGTACTAACTCCTATCGATATTTTTTCTTAACGAGAGGAAATCTTCAAAAGACACCTCCAGGTAGTGTCGACTAAAACCACTCTTCGAGTGGGGAGATCAACCCGACGGTTATACATCTATGGGAAGGAAATGGAAAGGTTGGGAGTGGGAAAAGTAATTAATTGGGAAAAGGGTTGAGTGTAGGGAGGAAATGGGAGTGTTTTGGAGAAAAAAACGTCGAAAATAGGTGGATCACCTCTGATGTGATGGGTGGATACTCGCGCTAAAGAGCGAAGAACTATCGATCTCGTGACAACTATTTTTAGAGATTTTACGTTTTCTAGAATTTTCTAATATATCCCGTCTAGAAACCTGGTCTTCTTTGCCGCTGTGTATGTTGGGTTGCGTACATGCATGTGACAATATTTAAAAATCCTTTGATAATTTTAATTTCCAAAACAAAAGGTAGAAACATGTTTTTAGCACATATTTTACCGAAATGTATCATCACACATAAAAATTTATACAGGTTAGTACCCAAATATTATAATTAAAACCTATTACTATTAAAAATTTTATACAAATATTTTTGAGTTCAAGCTATTAGAAAAAAAGCTAACCAGTAATGTTTATTATTGGTCTGCTGAAATTCAAATTTCATCGTCAAATAGTTATTAAAAGAAAGCATCTCAGGTAGATGAGAAATTGGTAAATTCCTATTTTTA